TTGCTTGCTTAACCTAAGTAACTCCATTTTACCCCGTCTGACCTGCAGACTACCCCCCCCCGCACTGCTTCTGTATGAGAAACCATTGACTTTCTCATAGAAACAAAAGCCGTTGCATAGAAACAGAGGCCATACACAGTAAGCTATTACATGGGAACAGGAACCATACACAGTGAACTATTACATGGGAACATACACAATGAAAACTTGTATGCTTGATTGCTCGAACGGCTCATTCTCGGCCTCTGTGACCTAGCTCCCTAGCTTGCTTTGTGCACCTGGACAAACCTGAGTGCCAACGGGATGTAGTTTTTGCCTTTAAAAACCCCACAAGACCAAGGCCTGAGGCCGCTCTTCCTTGGTTGCTCCTTAGGAGATGGTCGCTGGTCAGCTGGAGTGAATAAACTGCCCTTTTCTGCATGGGTGGCGTTTAAGTGCATTTCTTGTGGGAGTGCCTTACAACACCCTGATCACGCATTGTATACATGTATTGAAATACACCTCTGTACCCCATAAATACGTACAATTATTATATGTCAATTAAAAAAATAATTATATCTTGAGAACTTTTTAAAAAATTTTATCTTTGCTATTTCAAAGACAGAGATTTAAAGACAGTGCCCTTAATTATTATCATCTTCTACCAGAAAGATACCCTGGGAATATTACTCTATGTCTCTCTCTATATTGTGCTCTGGCATAAACAAAATGCTACATTGGCTCTAGTGGTGACCATGGACTTGCTGGAGGATATAGGGACAGGTGGAATTTACATTTACCAGGCAGGTGTTCCATAGAGATGGGGTCTTGATGCTTCAGAAATTGCCACAATCAAAGCTGGGAGCCCGTAGCCCACAGGGAACATGAGCTTCTTCATGAGTCTGCTCCCACTGGAGTAATTGACCACAGTCAGGTTTCGTGCAGTGAGGAACAGGTGCAGGCCCTCCAGCAGCATCCAGGTGAAGGAGGCCAGGTAGAGGTAGTGTAAGGCACCAGCGATGATGGTGCACAGCACCTGCAGGAGGAGGAAAAGACACCCAGAGTGGCAGTCAGGTGTGAGTGTGGCCTGGGACCTCTCCCAACCCTGCCACTGGGAAGAATTCTGATATATATGATGAAGTGGTCAAGAGGGGATTTATTTTCTAGAGGACTCAGGCAATGTGAAATTAGCATCTCCCTCATCTAACCTTCTCCAGGACTCAAGGTCATTTTATTAAGGAATCCAACGCAGCATCGTTCCATGAGCTCAGCCTCCCCTGAGCCAGGGCAGGGGGTTACTCTGGGACACCGTCAGTACCTTGGGTTCCGTCCGGTCGATTGCAATGAGGAAGAGGAGGTGGGACAGGAAGAGGCAGAGTGAGAGCTGCAGGTGCAGGGAGGTGCTGGTGTTGTGGATGGCTTTGCACAGGAGGCNGAGGCCAGGTAGAGGTAGTGTAAGGCACCAGCGATGATGGTGCACAGCACCTGCAGGAGGAGGAAAAGACACCCAGAGTGGCAGTCAGGTGTGAGTGTGGCCTAGGACCTCTCCCAACCCTGCCACTGGGAAGAATTCTGATATATATGATGAAGTGATCAAGAGGGGATTTATTTTCTAGAGGACTCAGGCAATGTGAAATTAGCATCTCCCTCATCTAACCTTCTCCAGGACTCAAGGTCATTTTATTAAAGAATCCAACGCAGCATCGTTCCATGAGCTCAGCCTCCCCTGAGCCAGGGCAGGGGGTTACTCCAGGACACCATCAGTACCTTGGGTTCTGTCCGGTCGATTGCAATGAGGAAGAGGAGGTGGGACAGGAAGAGTCAGAGTGAGAGCTGCAGGTGCAGGGAGGTGCTGGTGTTGTGGATGGCTTTGCACAGGAGGCATGTGAGGCCCGCCAGGAGGAGGCACAGCAGGGAGAGGCCCAGCCCCATGTAGGTGACGATCGTCAGCGCAGGATCCTCCTCCTGGGACCCAGCAAAGCAGAGTTCACAGTCACCCTTCCCTGCTCTGGGGTAATGACTCCTGCACCATTTTAATTTTTATTTTTTCGCTTAGCAAATTCAGGAATGGAGGAGTCAGGTAAATTTGTGAGGTTGATGGGTGAGTTACTCTGGGTTCAGAACTCTAGAATTTTATAAGATTCTGATCTGATCAATTCAGCCACTGAAAGGACTGAGAGATAAAAGTGTCCTTAGTCAAGACAAAACCCTGGAATTCACAAGGGCTTAATGTTTAATTGACAAATGATAATTCTGTATGTTTGGGGGGTACAATGTGATATTTCGATCTGTGTATACATTGTGGAAAGGTTCATTCAAAGCTAATGAACATATCCATCACCTCAGCAGCTTGTCATTTTGTTTTGTATTTATGAAATATCCACAGAAAAGTGCAGGACACACTGAGAACTTTGCTTTTCTGAAGGAAGAGGAATTCATGCCTGTGGAGAAGGTAGGAGGAGACTCCTTAACGTTTCTTCTCTTACTCTGTTTAAGTGTTGAAATACAAATATTTTACCTCTTCACAAAATCAAAAACAGTAGATAAATAACAGTGTGACTATTGAATGACTGTTGTGTTATCCAGCAACGCACCTTGGAATGTTGTGCAGACTCCTGGGTTCCTATGAAGTCTGGCCATTTTGCTAAGATCTGTTCCTGCTTGTTTTCATATGGGTGCTCAGGGTAAATGCCTCATTGCATTTCTCACGAAACAGAGGAAGTAACCAGCTCACCTGGTTAGAGGAGGAGGCCGATGACAGCCCCTGATCCACCTGTACCCACTGACTGCCTTGAGACTTCTGACCTCTGCCGTGATCAAATGTTCCTTTCTGCAGCCCCTGCAGCCCATGACCACCTGTGTCTTGCAGACACCTGTAGTAAAGCAGAATTCTAATTTGATCCTTTGCGGTACACACTCCTTGTTCCAGGTATTCAATCAAATGCTAGTCTAGGTGTTACTGTGGAGGGATTTTGCAGATGGGACTTAGGTCCCAAATAGCTTGACTTTAGGAAAGGAAGTTTATCCTGGTTGGGCCTGACTTAGTCAGGCAAACCCTTAAATGTTCCGGCCTATTCCAAGAGAAACAGATTCAAAGCTTGAGAGGGATTCCATGGGAAGGCTACCTTCCTGCTGGACTTCAGATAGATATATTAGCACATTGTGAGAGCGCCACGTGAGAAGAAATGTGGGTGGCCCTTAGGAACTGAATGTGGTTCCCTGCTGACAGCTAGCTAGAAAGTGAGACCTCAGTTCTACATCTGCAGGCCGCTGAATTCTGCCAGAAACCTGGGAGCTTGGAGGAGGACCTCAAGCCTCAGATGACATTGCAGCCCTGGCTGACACAATGATTTCAGTCTTGTAAGATCTTGAGCACAGAACCCATTTACCATATGCTGGATTGCCAAACCATGGAAACTGCAAAATAATGAATTTGTTTTTTAAGAAAGCTGCTAGGTGTGTGTGCATGTGTTACACAGTGGTAGACGTTGAACGCAGCCTCTCTCTGGACTCTCACCTGCACGACGTGATGGGCCATGAGGACAGCAAAGCTGCTGAGGTGGGTGCAGCTGCAGCTGGTGCTGGTGTCTCCAGTGCTCACCATCCTGCAGCCTGTGGTGTCCCAATGACCACAGCCATTCTGGCCACACTCCCAGAAGACACAGAGCACCCTGTGCCTTGGCCCAGGGCTCACTGACTGTAGGAACAGGGAACAGGTGTGAGCTGGTGACTCTGGTGCTCAGAGATGCTGTCCCAAAGCTGGATCAGGAAGGGCTGATTTTTGTGGGGAGATGGTGCACCCATGGTGAGCCCCCCTGAGCCCCAAGGCTGAGCTGAGCAGCAAGGCTGTGTCCAGGACTCAGGCTCCTTCCACACCCACCCACCAGCACTCACATCGTGGGAGAAGGTGAAGGTAACAGGGGAGCTGAGGTTCTGGGTGTCCTTGTTGCTCAGGAAGGCTGAGATGTCATCTGAGAGCATGACGGGGAAGGCTTCCTGCAGCAGGCCCTCATGTGTCTCATGTGGAGAGACCTGCTTCCCAGGCTCCAGGACCATGGGGACCTCAACCACGGGGACCAAGCCAGCAACTCGGCCATACCTGGAGTGGAGACGAGGCCCACCACAGAAGGGCCTGTGGGACGAGGCCAAGGCTGACATCTTATGGTCCCCAGCAGGGCCTCTTCTTCCCCAGATGAACTCTCTCTTGTGGCCCCAACCCACACTTCCCTTTAATTTTTAAATTTCTGTTTTTCGCATCTGACCTTCTCACCATCTCAGCCATTACCGGTGTCACCAGCTCCCTATGCCAGGTCCCAGTTCAGTTGCATCTTTGCCTAATTCTGACTAAAGGCGACATTCATGTTTTCTCTCTCCTGCACCTCCAGGGACAATTCTAGGAGTTGCAGGAATTATGAAAGGGGAGTTAGGTTATGAAGTGTGCCTGCAGTGGCTTATACAATACCATTATTATGTACACACTCACACACATTGCTGTGGATTGAATGTCTCCCCCAAAACTCATTGAAACTTAATCTCCATTGTAGAAGTTAAGAGGGTGGGAAATCCTATTATGGTAATTGAAAAGTGGAGTCTTGAAGAGGTGATTAGATAGGGAGGAGTGTGCCCTTGTGATTGGTTCAATCCATTCATAGAGTAATGGGTGTGGTTCTGCCGGCTTTATAAAGAGAGCCAGTGAGCAGGTGATCTTTCTCTTGCTCAGCCATTTTGCCATGTGATACCCTGCGTCACTGTAGAGTGTCACCACCAATAACAAGAAGGCCCTCACCAGATGTGTTCCTCAGACTTTGGACTTCTCAGCCTCCAAAAGTATAAGAAATAAATTTTATTTCTTTATAAATTACCTAGTTTTAGGTATTTTTCTTACAAGCAATGGAAATGGACTAATACACACACAGAGGCTGAAGTTACAAGGGATTAAGTGTGCACAGTGTGAGCAACTGTACATCAATAAATTACATAACCCAGATGAAATGGACAAACCCCTACAGATACAGAAACTACCAAAATTGAGTCAAGAAGAAGCATAAACTCTGAGAAGACCTACATAACAGGTAAAGAGATTGAATCAGAATAATCAAAAACCTCCCCAAATGAGCACATCATACCACATGGCTTTATTGGTGAGTTCTACCAACC